CCCCCTAGGTGAGGTGGAGGAGGCCCAGGTGGAAATCCAGCCGCCAGTGCTGCCGCCATTGCAGCCGCCATGGACGGATGTGCTTGCGCCAGGCTGGCGAGGAAAGCTGGGTTAGAAGCATGCGGAAGAGGTGCACCAACGGAGGACGGTGGAAGGCCGAGAAAAGGAGGAGCACCAGCGACAGACTGTAGCATTGGTGGTCCGGCACCCGAAGAACCCGTGGAACTTGAAGATGTGATGGTGGATGAATTCGAAGTTACAATCGGTTGAAGGAAAGGATTTTGAAGCATATTGGCAGAGCCATGGCCACCTAACAAGGGTCCACCAGAGCCACCACCGGGCAACCCAGAAGCAGAGCTAGATGGAAATCCTGACATTAAGCCAGAGGAAGTGACTGAGCAGCTTGCACCAGATGAGGAGATCGGAGGAAGTGGAGGCACTCCCAACGAAGAATTTTGCCCGCTCCCTGACACAGGAGGCATTGGGCCGTCAGGGATTGGAGGTAATGAGGATGCTATGGAAGGTGGGAAGGGAGCTCCCGCAGAAAGGTTTGATCCACCAATAAGCTGCTGCTGCATATACTGTAATATAATATATATGAATGTAACAGCGGTAAAAAAGGAGTACATAAGGGGATAAAATGCAAACGAATACTTACTTTAAAAAATTCAACCTGATCAAGGGGCATTCCGTATGCCCCATTGGGAAGCTTTCCAAATTTGGCATCTTCCATCTGCTGCTATTTTTTTAGTTTTAACTAAGTAAGATCAACTTACTGATATAATGCAGTTGAGCTCAGAAAGGGTTATCTGTTTAGCGCGTTCGACTGCAGCAGTCACCTGTGCTTGATGCTAAGACAAAGATTACATTAAACGGATATACCTCTGGCGACAAAAATGGCATAACGTGAGCCAAGATTTCGCCAAGCCTTTTTGCTATTTCAGTTTGTTTATGCATTTCAACATTAAGTCCATACGTAATTTCATAATACATAACATAGTGGCGCTGCATTTCTGTCTTATCTTGCATAGCCTTTTCGTACTCATTCTTTAAGCTGCGGAAGTAATTAATACAGAAAGTTTAAATACCTTTGACACTGCTGTTGAAGAAAAGTCAACTCCTCCTTTATTCGATCGCATGCTTCAGGTACAGAAAACTTCTGAGCCTGCAGATTTTGCGAGGAGGCGTGCTAAAATTAGCAAGACATCATAAAGAATGAATTTTAGAAATACCTGAGTCCTCGGAGGATACATTTCACGGGATAATGGTACAGAGGACCCCAACTCAAAACCAGGGCAAGTTGAAGTTGACTCGTTTAGTTCGCCGCTTATTATTCATTCGGTTAAACATTAAATGGTTTAGCGAACAAAATGCATTAATACTATCGCAAAAATATAAT